GCTGCCGTGGGCCTGGGGTCCCCGGGGCTGCGGGGCTGGGGGGCGGGGAGCTGGGGACACCCCCTCTGCTCCGTAAGCTTCTTGCACCTCAAGGGCTGGAGCGGGCAGCCCTGGGGACAGACAGAGCCGGGCTTGTTCGCCTGACCCTGTTCAAAGAAATGTGCGACGTTCCAATCTGGCCGCTCGGCGATTTCACCCGGAACTCCAGGCTTTCCGCTTCTCCCGGGAAGGCGAGGGCCTGTGGCCGCAGCCCTGAGCCCTGCCCGGCCACGTGGGCTGGGCCGGAGGGGCCACCCCTCTGAGATGAAACCACGTCTCCCCGCTTGCCCTTGGCTCATTTTCGTTATTTGCTGCCCGTCCCTCCCGGGTGACCTCTGAGCGCATGGATCCTGCCCGCCATGGCCACCTGAGCTGGGCGGCACCAAGCCCCCGTGCCCTCCCGCCCAGGACAAGACCCCACATGCAGTCTGCCCAGTAACAAGGGCATCTTCCTGGGTGTGTTGGGGGGGGCGGGGACGACAATTCTCAGACTCTGGGAGATGAGCACAGCCCCGCCCGCCCTCAGCAGAGCTGGAGGACACCCCAAAGGCAGCTGCACGAGGACAGAAGGTGGGACCGTGTCTCAGCCAAGGGAGCCGGGCTCAGGCGCTGTGGTGAGCTGCACGACGGCCCCGGCGATGTCACACCCCTGGAACCCGGAGCTCATGTGGAGAAAGAGTGGCTGCAGATGGACTGAGCGAAGGACCCTGAGAGGGGACGCGACCTGGATTGCAGGTGGACCCTCAATGCATCCCATGGACCCACACAAGAGGGAGGCGGAGGGAGACCTGACAGCCAGGCAGTGGAGGGGGTGCGAGACGGAGCAGAGATGGACCATGGGAAGATGCTGGCCTTGGAGCCGGGAGGGAGGCGGCCACCAGCCAAGGGGTGCTGGCGGCCCCCAGAGTGGGAGGAGGCCGGGAACGGACTCCGTAGAGCAGCGGTTCTCCACCTTCTGGCCCTTTAAATACAGTTCCTCATGTTGTGGCCCAACCATAACATTATTTTCGTGGCTACTTCATAACTGTCATGTTGCTACTGTGATGAATCGTCATGTAAGTATCTGATATGCAGGATGGTCTTAGGCGACCCCTGTGAAAGGGTCGTTCGACCGCCAAAGGGGTGGCGACCCACAGGTTGAGAACCGCTGCCTTAGAGCCTGGGGAGGGAGCGCGGCCTCCAGCGCCGTGAGACGACGCGACGCCCCCAGCGTGTGGACATGCGTTAGCGCAGCCACAGGACAGCCACGCGCACGGGAGCCACGGACTGAAGAGCCGGCGTCCCCCGTGTGATGTTCCCTGCTGCGGACCGTTCCTTCTAGAACGCAACGTTAAACCAGCTAGTAAGTCAGAGCAACGGGAACTGGGGAACTTTTTGGGTTACTTCATCTCTTTTCTGATAAGGGGTGGCGATCCTTATTGGTGTCTCTGATGATAAAGGTAACATGTTCTTTGTATTAAATTCAGAACCTGCAGAGGCCTATAAAGAAACCCCTTTGGTGACAAAGGGTCTCTCCGGCACGG